TTAGCAGTCTGTACAAGAACTGTGGAGGGTAGGGATATAAATACGATCTCCCAATAATTAAAGCCTTCTACATTGAGAATTGTACAGATGGATTGAAGATACATTGCGTGTGGCTCAGGGCTATGTCTGAGAACCACAGGGAAGAATATGAGACGTGACTGTGAGGGGTCATGGAATGTTTACAGTCACCCATCCGAGGAAAGACACAAACAACTCTGTGTAAGTTTACCAGTGCTTCTCACTGGGGAGTGAGTACATCCCCCCTTTTTTGCTCTCCACATAAAGGCTATGTAAGCTCTGAATCTCACTGGAGATTTGGGTGATCACATTCCTGTGAAGCCCCTGTACATGACAATAAATTTGAATGTTTTGTGGACCCATCAATCTACCATTGCCTGGTTCATTTCTGTGAACGTTCAGAAAGCAGAAGATACATTTGCATTTTCTTCTACATATGTAGATGTAGTGGTCGTAGCATAATAATTGTGCAAACCAATGTTAGATAAGACACTTAGAAAGAGTGTGGGAATGTAAGTTCCGTGGTGTAGTGGTGAGCACTCTGGACTCTGAATCCAGAAGGAGTGTGTGGGTGACTGAGACCCTGCAGAAGGACATCTGTATGTAAAAAACGAACAAGGGCAACTGAGAAATGGTAAGTGAGTATCAGCAAATATCCTTTTGAGTCCATGCTATGTACAGAGTGCTAGGGCTAGGTATTTCACTGGTAGTAGATAACGCTTATTTACTGGTCTGTCTGGTCAGCCAACTTTTTGGTACAATGACTTATGTAGGAAGGAACGATCTCACTGGCAGTGGAGATGCTCATCACACTGAGAACTGGACATGTCCTAGGTTTGGCAGTTAGGAGGGCACGCGCCACCTCAGTGAAGGCATCTCTGTCAAGCTGTGGAAGTAGGGGCCAGGTCCTGCCACTGAGCAGGAATACGAAGGGCTGGTGTGGAAGTAGGGCCAAGAGAAAAGTGGGAAGAGAATACTATTTCAAAGGAAACAATATAAAGGGAATTTTTTTCAGTGGAAAAGATGAGAAAAGTTAGAGAAGTAGAGACCTTAAGGAGAGAGGCGAAGATTCTGTACAGACCCAAGCAGCTGGGATGTCTAACAAGCTACAACAGAGAAAGAGAAGCAAGAACTAGTACCTGTGGCTTAGCTGAAATTCTATTCCAATCCTTTGTCTCTTGTCAGTCAATGTATTTTTGGAATCTCTTCTCTTTCTTGCTCAGTTTGCACATAACTGAACTACTATCTTGGGGAGAATTTTTAGTGTCCCACCGTCTTTGCTTATCAAGATACCGTCTTTCCGCAACCCACACACCTCAGCAGTGCTATCATCGGCTTTCTGCACTGCTACCCCCAGAGCGTTCAAGGAAAACGCACACTGTTGGATGCACACATTGATTCTCTTGATGGAAAACGTTTATTCAGACAAGTATTACAGACTTTGCTTATTCTTTGTGATCATTTCGCCATAGCATGCTAATACATTATGAATATTCGTTTCCATTAATGCAGTACTTTTATGGAATAAATTTCCTGCCCAAATGTCTTCCTACTTCTGCATCTTGCTCTGATCAAAAATGTGTTTTCAGCACTTTTTCTAGTCTTCGGCATTTATTCAAATACAAATAGTGAATATCTGCTTTGTGCAGGGAATTTTTTTGGCAGAGGCTTGCAACATAGTACTAGCGTTTGAAGAGCCCAGATAGGAAAAACAGATATGCTCATGACCATCTGAAATAGAAATGAATAAGTACCTTAATAGATGCAGTATGTAAAGATTGCATAAGCCAATATATAGTAACACCACCCTTCCAATAAAAGAAGTTTGCTACTCAAATACTGAATCACATTTATTTTTTCAAATGGGTTGTCAAGAATAGAAATACCCCCTTTTCTGTGCATGATAGATTTTTCTTCCCCTCTTTATTTCTCTCTTCTCTTTTTTGGTTCTTTTTTCTGTCAGTTCTCTGCATGGGCTCCTTTTATATTCTGAAATTCCAGTTAAGGGACTTTCTCACTGATTGTAATGACATAGGTCTGTTTTTACAGCTGTAATCTTAAAATTTCTTAATAGTGCCATGTTTAAAACATTATTCTAAAATGCTAGAATGTTTGAAGGTTCTCGAAAAGTAAACAGCTCATATAAAAAGAAGAGAACAGTTAAAATGTAAAACTTTCAACAATTTCTATCAGATCATAGGCACTTCATTTTCCCCAAGGGGAATGAATTCACTAGACATATACATGTATTAGAACCAGATGAAAGCGATGCTGTGCAATTGAACAGACAGTTCCTGGGCTTATTAGAGGCTGAAGCTCAAGTGTTTGTACATCCGCTGGCTTCCTTGGCCTTGGCAAAAATCATTTTTCCCAGCAGAGCAGATTTTGGATATTTGCATTTATGTGTCCGATCACCTGTGACACATGAGACTCTGAGGACTTGACATCCTGTACTATTATTGTTATAAACAGAGCTCCCAAGCAGTTAAGCCCAAATTGCTCCTCTGGTGTTCACAAGAATGGTGGCACAGGGGGAGCCCAGGCAGCGTGCGGAAGCAAATGATGCCTTACGAGAGGCTGACTCTCAAAAGAAGCCAGCGAGGCAGGTAGCTGGCATCCGAGCGTGGTACGTGTTTCCCTTCGACCATCACAAACAAGTTTTAAGGAGTCAAGGTTGTTACTTGAGAATAAATCAGGGAACTCAGAAATGTTTCGATGATTCACTGTAAAGCATAGCAGACATTTCCTAGCATGTTTATCCTTTCAAAAATGTATATATTTCACTTCAGGCTCAATAGATCTTTCAGATGGCATCTCAGTAGAGCTTTCTCAGCCCAGAAGTGATTTATTTCTTTCAGTGGAGGGTTTGCTTCAATCTACTGTTTAGAAATTTGCGCTATCATAACTGGGTGTAAAATTCCTTTACTTTGGACAGAGTTAAGATATTCCCAAGACTAATTAGGCAATTTAAATGGTGAATAATGCTATTTCCCTGTGCATTCGCTTTGTGAATTAAACTGATGAAGATTTAGTTCTCTTTTTCACAGTTTCTATTGTCTACAAAACTAAAGATCCATTTTAATAAAAGATTTTCTTTGTTTTGTTTTAGAAAGGTTTTTGACACCTGAATAGTAGTGGTAATGAAATCCTCTGTGGGTTAGGCTTCAAGGAAAAAATATTAACATGAAATTAATGAAGTATTAACAAATAAATTGAGTTCATAGCAGTTACCATTTCCCTATGTTGTATGTGATGATCATAGACCTGCTATGAGGAGCTTTGAACTTTGTATCTGGTCACTCTTAGGAATGATCTCAATGCATTCCAAAAACAAAGCACTGGGGGGGGGGGAAACAAACTATAATTAAAAACTTTGCAAAGTGAGATTATGTACATCTCAGTTCTCGCACACCTTTTTTTTTCCATCTTAAGTAATTTATTTTCTCTTAATGGAAATTCTAATGTGCAGCCTGAACTTGAATGTAAGCAGTACAGCTGAAGTCAAATACAGAAACTTACTTCTTTTTTCTTTTCCAGCCTATACCAGTGGTAAGGAGCCCAAGGCCCATGTGTCGCAAGTGTCATGCCAGCCTTGCAGAGCACTCTCTGTGGGCAAGGGAGCCAAGTACATGGTTGTTTTCTCTCAACCACATTCCCGGTGCTCTGGTTTAGTGGTAGTACTGGCACTTTCCAGTGAATAAGTGGGTTTAGAATTGCAGTTTGGGTACTCTGTCTCTGAATTCTTTTTTTTAAAGATTTTTTTAAATTTTATTTATTTATTTG